AGCACCCACCAGTCAGCAAGGCATAACTGCAAACTTGAAGGGACTCATGTCCCTCTTGAAATTTGAACCTGCATCACTCAGTGTTGCCGTCTGAACTATTCAGACTCACGATTGACCTCCGTGAAGACTGTATTGAATGCTTAGATTGGACACCAGTCAGGAATTAGTGTAATGTGTCTTGTCCTTTGCTTGGTGTAATCTGAATTCTATGAATTCATTGTGTTTTTACGAGTTGATCACGGACTGATATCAGTTAGAGCACCATTGAAAACCAGGGAGTACTGGACAGCTGCTGTTTCATCCTGGGATTCGAACCCAGGACCTTCCGGTTACAAGGCAAGCTGGCTCGTATATCATTCAGCCACTGGGACCCGATTCAATGGCCCATGAATCCTAACTTCTACCAATTCGTGATTTAGCGCGACCCCAACCATTGTCGTTGGTAGGACATCCATCCACACACGTGACATCTAATTGGACCTCACTGGTCACGACTTCTCACTAGAACTCCAGGAAACTCCATCCTGTAGCAAGTCACTAGCGAGCATCAGATTAATTTTCTATTGTTTGCTTTGTAAGGGTTTGTTATGTTTTTAAGAGTTGATCACGGACAGATATCAGTTAGAGAACCATTGAAAACCAGGGAGGTCCTGGGTTCGAATCCCAGTGGGTGTGTACTGCTGATGATTCTCAAACTAGGATGAAACAACAGCTGTCCAGTACTCCCTGATTTTCAATGGTTCTCAGTCCGTGATCGACTCGTAAAAACATAACAAACCCTTACAAACCAAACAATAGAGAATTCATTGGGGCCATTTACGTTCAGAAAAAGCACATTTACTCGTTTTAGAAATAATCGACAGAAATTCTTACAAGAATAATTACTTTATTCTTAATAATACTTTATTGCATAATTGTGGAATTCTCAGCATGTTCTATTGCAAATTATTTACTTCCGGTGTAAAAGTTTCAAGTGAATTAATCGCCAGCAATATATCATCTGAGGCTAGATTGTTCCATCCAAAACACCCTCTAATAACCTGTTGTACTTCTCAGTTTTTTCAGAAAACTCCATAGTGGCAGGTTGAATCCTGTTTGAAAATAGGCGTGGATACAAATGTTTTTATTCAGAGACACATTTTGATGGAGGGAAGTTACAGTAGCCTAGGGACTTAAGCAGGCTGGCCAGCATTTAACGTTCACTAACAAGCAGTGGTAAAGAAAACCTCAATAATTACTATATTTCGTCAAAAGTGTTGAATAGCAATATCATTACTCAACGAGGCTTTAATTTAAGCTTTAGATTGTCACATTATATATATATATATATATATCAGCAAAAACAAGGATTCACATAGAACTGTGTTATTTACACACATAAATGAGAAAATAATTTTAAATCGATAAAGTTTAGCTTATGAGGCCAGTGTCAGACTATCTGAAACAGAAGTTACTGGAATTACAGGGTATATATTAGGTCTGAAATAAGATATGAGACATCTGTTGACGACAAGAGTGTGGCTGCTACATATTAATTAAACAGCCTCATCATTTACATTACTCTGTTTTCCGTCTTAGAATAATTTTACTTGATGAAGACAAACACAATGATACTATAGACTGACAGCGTTCCTACCACAACTTACTGCTCATAACTTCCGGACGTTGTTCATACAATTCTATTACTTCTTATCCTTCATTTTTATTGGCAGTCACATTTTCAGTATCCCTGATATTGGCGCTGATCATTCCTATTCCATGTATTGGGTGTAGATTCAATGAACATGGATTCAGTGATCCGTCTTTCCCTCCACCAACTTATAATGCTTTTTGGAAATGTAACTATGTCTCACTCTGTTGTGTGAATGTGTGTTCATGCGCGCATCACGATTACTGAGTTTTTCAATTATTGGTTTTGTAGGAATTTTGCTTTGATTGGTTAGAGGATTTCATCATGAGCTAGCACAAGTTAGATAACCATCGGAAAACCAGCACTGGAGTACTGGACAGTTGTCTCGTCCCAAGTTTGACTCTTCAACAGAACGCACCCACCACCGGCGTTCAAACCCAGGATCTCCTGGATACAAGGCCAGCGAGCTCGTAGACGATTCAGGCAATGGGACCCGATCCAACGACCAGCCCATGAATTCTAACTTCTGCCAATTCATGGCATAACGCGACGACCTCGCGAGGTCTTCTTCGATGAGTTACTGCCTCATCTTCATTCTGTTGTATCCTACTGATCACGGCTTCTCACTACTGAGTTTTTCTCTAAGCTCTTCATCAACAATTAGCTAACTTTCTATGTCATAATAATCTGACTCAACCCGATCTACTGATTTGACCTATCTGCTTGACTTCACAATCATTGCCAGGTTTCTTGTAGATTATATTATTTTTATTTAACTCAGTAATTCTCATGAACTTTATTTTTTTATTGTTAACCATGTCAGCTGTAAAGCGGTTGTAAAGAAACTACGAAATGATATCATCTCGTGAAATTTGTCTTCTGAATGCCTTTTCAAATTTATATTTTTTTTGTCGAATTGGGTCAGTAGGATCCTTTAGTCTACAGAGCTTGTCTTTGAGTGAGTTTGTAGGTTTAAATGCCACCTTGATTCCTGCTTTATTAAGAATACTATATAGGGTTTGTAATCTCCCTTCCTTATACTGTAAAACTTTAGATGTCTTAAATTCCACTAAAACCCTTCGTCTAGTTGTGATCTTTTATCTTCTTTATGAGTGTTGGGATTAGTTATTAAGCACCAATGCTTTTTCTGTCTGTTTCATTTCATCATTTAGGTTTTTCAATATATTACTTCGAATTTTCGCGTGATTTGTTGGACAGTGAACTAAGCCTGTCATTAAAGATAACGGGCGACATCGCTCAAAGTTGAAAGATCTATTAGAGTGCATTGGTATTTTATAGACACTAATCAATAATTTAAATTCTTCTATTATTTGTGTCTTTCCGGTCTAAAACAATTCTACTCTTAACACAGTGAGAATGTCATTCACTTATCTCCACTGTAACTTTGAGGTAGGATTGAATGGTTTAAAAGCGTTATTCCCACAACTATGTATAAAGGTGTCACTAACACCCCCAGTTGTAGTAGATAATGAATATCTTATATAGCAACTCACAGCGTGAAACTTACGGAAACCTTCAAATTGAAGATGGGAGTAAGACAAGCTGACTGCCTTCTATCTTCAGTGATTTACCTGATTGCGGTAGACTGTATAATACGAAAGACAGCGGCGGGAAGAAGGGAAAGAGGAGAGTCTGCACTTCGCCGATGATATATGTCTGATTTCCCACAAACTGGAAGATATGCAAGTGAAAAGCAACAAGTTGGCAGAAGAAGCATCCAGCGAAGAGAGGACTTCAGGTGAACATAGATAAAATAGACGTGATGAAGATTCTTGGCCAACAGCAACAGCAACAACAACAGACAACAATTGGCATAAACGAGGGAAATCTGAAAGAAATAACCTCTTTTACCTATCCACCTGCCTGGGAAGCATCGTTTCAACTACAGGCGGACAGAACTGACGAGGATATCAAAGCAAGGATGGGGAAAGCAAGGCAATCTATCATTACTATCAAGTCTGTGTGGAGATCAGCAGCACTCAGCATAAAAATGAAAATAAGATCCGGATTTTCAACTCCATTGTGAAGTCAGTGCTACTTACTATACAGATCAGAGACTTCGCGAGTCACGAAGGGCACTTCCAACAAACCACACACCTTCATCAACAGCTGTCTTCTCTCACTAATACTCAGGAACAGATGGCCGGCCAGAAAAGATAAGCACCAGGGATCTCTGGCGATGAACGAGCCGAAGTAGCAGGAAGCAATTATGCAGCGAATTTGCAGAAAGAAATGGAGGTGGATTGGTCATATTCTGGGAAAACTAGCCATCAAGTGACATCACATGCCAGACAATCATTCGAGTGGGATCCGAACGGGAAGCGGCGAGTTGTTTGTCAGTGAGTGGGTGAGATTGAGGAGGTCATGTGAAGAGGAGATGAAAGCATGTGGGCAGAGAACTGAGCTTAATGGAGACGTGCGGCTGAAGACCTATGTTCCTCTAGGAATTAAAGGAAACAATAATAATACATATTGGAACTCAATTACCGTAACATATGTACTAAAACATAGTCACGCAATAAGATGCAGCACAGCTACGGTTCTAAGCAGTAATATAGGTAGCTGGAGAGAGAGTGGTTGATCACCAAATCTTCGCTTGTCGAAGATACAGCTGACACTCACGGTTTGAATGCCTCAGTACTAGTACCAGAGATATGGAAAATATTAGTATCAATAAAATCAAAAGATAAGAAGTAGTGGAATTATATAAACAAAATCTGAAAGTTATATGAGAATGTTGGTGTGATTATGCCTGAAGGCTATGAATGAAGAACCGCAAATCTCCATTTCAGCCTGTTCTCTGAATTACTCTTGGAATAATTCCATAACTCCTCATAACCTTTCATTTTCTCCTCATACAATCTCTTGTATATCGCTCTTGGACGCTCAACTCGTGATTTTTCATTCAAGTTCTACTTGAGGACTTGGAACGCGGTACTACTCAGCGGTCTCGTCAACAAGTGTCCAATTCATCTCTTCTTGCTTACACATATCTGTTGGGCAGTAGGTTGTTAGTTGATTTGTTGGTAGAGTTCCTTGTTGATAAACTCTCTTCGACCATCTGATCTACAGTTGAAACGTCATCAGTTATATATTTTACTGTATCGCTGAGTGTATGACATTAAATAAAACTGTTTATGATGGAATTATACTGGACAACACTGTATCGAAATTCTTATTATGTATCAACTGGTTTGATTGTATTGTCTCTAAATAACTGAAACCCATCGTAAGTTAATCAGCTAAAACTTTCTGAATTTCTATTGGTTTATAGCCATCAACCAATCAGAATTCGCTAAACACCAATTTCTTTTAAATATATACAGTAATGTACAAATTACTGTTCATGTTCTTGAGAATTAAGTTTTTCATTTGATCTAAAGTTTCCCTAAATCAAATCATGCATGCATCATATGAATATATTTAACCAAATATTTAAATTATAATCAAAATGCATGCTTCATCAGTGATTGTTGAAAATATGCCAATGATGCCAATGACACCGCAAATTGTGATTGAAATTCCCGCTAACACCCCGCCTGAATCAAATTATAATAGCAACGTAAATTTAAATACAAATTTAATTAATAGTTTATTTATTCAATCACATAATAATAATAATCATAATAATGGATGGTCATCAGGTGCATCAAGTCCTGGTTCATGTTATCAAAATTTATTGTCACCAACAAATTATTGGTCAAAAAATCATTATCTTACATCAACTAGTGATAGCTTATTTAGTCGTGGAAATCTTAAAGATGATGACTGTCGGCTAGAAAGACAAACTCCACTGGATAGTCAATCGATTTATTCACAAATGAGTAGAACACCTCCACCAATGGTGTTATTGTCACCAACATCCTCAGTATCATCACAGTGTTTAAATCAAAATCGTAATCCCCACTGTTGTATGATGAATGGACAAATGAAGAACTCCTGTTTACCTGAGAGTACATCAGGGGGTTTTCAACGTTCAAATTCAATTTCATTAGCAACAGCACATGTTAATGGAAATAAAATACACTATCCTGATAGTAATACAGAGATGTACGCCGGTCAACCATCTGATAATCATATATCACATCCCTTTAGATCTTGTACACCTTCGTCTATGGTCATGAATATGAAGCATCAGTCGAATCGATCCTTGAGTCCATATTCCTGTTCTAATTATCCACAAAATGCTAATTTATCCAGACAATGTATACCATGTTTATCCGCTGACAGTCATTGTAGTGGTTTAGAGCAGACTGTGAGCTTTCATCCAACAATTCCTACAAAAACTAAACAATATACAACAAGACGAGCTTCATCCCCACTGTCTTATAAGAGTTCAAATGCATCCTCTCAGTTATTATGCAGTAATAATAATTCATCTACTATGAGGATATCTCCCTGCCTAACAAAATCAGGTTGTATGCATAATTTTCAACGTTCTGCAGTCACAAATAAACAACCCTCTTCAATTCAACGTTCCAATTCCTTACCTGAGTTATTAATTACTAAAACAAGAACAATTGATGCAGTAAAACGACGTAAAACGGATAGATATAAAGATATCTGGTATAAGTGTATCCCAGAAATGAAATCGTGTAATTTCTATCCAACTCCACTAGCCTCTAGTCGTAATTCATTCTACCCGCTAGAGTTACCATGTCAACAGCAACAGCAACAACAACAACAATCATATTGTCTATCATCTGCTATGAATCATCGTCGGCATACAGAAGCTTGTAGTTTAAGGCCGAATAGATCATTGTTATTACTACATCAGTCAAGTCGTCGATCAAATTCGGTTTGTTCACAAAATCACTGTCCTGTAAATATGAATAATACTATTGCTGGTAATATTGCTAATAGAAATATTATCAGTAGTATGCGAAATATGAATTGTAATAATGTTAATAATAATAATAATAGCAACATGAATAATGGCCTGTGTGTTTCACAACATTCGTTTTTAAGATTATCAAATCAAAAGATTAATGATTGTAATTTACATGCTCGATCAGCTGTATCAGTGATGCTCAACTCTAAGTTAGATGACAATAGTAGTAATGGTAATAATAATACCAAAACTCTTACGTATATAAATCATACATCACTGAACAAAACTTGTTCAGAAGTTTGTAATATACCAACTGTTAATCCTGTTGATCTAGAATCAACGAAACTTGATGACTATCAAGGCATTATTGAATTACCAGTTAAAACTGGTGATTCATTTACACGTTGTCTTTGTTCCCTGATTGTTCTTCTTGTAAGTATGCAACTGGTTGTTGGGATTGCATCAACCTGTTTGGGATTATTTTTAACATGGAAAGTACCGGAATTGGAGTTTATGGAATGTGCATATATGTCAGGAATACCGGTAAGTCTGATCTGGTGAGCTTAAGGATTATAATTTCAATGTTTCACTGAGGTATTCTTATACACTTTCTTTAACCCTTTTCTTAAGCTCATATCATATCGAAATTGAACAGTACTGCTCTGTAATCAGTCTTTAGAATCCCACAATAGACTGATGACCGTATTGGTTGAGCAACCACTTGAGTTTTTAGTAACTGAAGAGATCTACATGAGTAGTGTTCTTATCATTAATGCTAATTCTTCGATTTTACACTAGGAATTAAATAATGTCATGTATCTAGATGTTCATTTGGTGCAGAAGGATCCATTACATTCCTGTAAGAGCTCAAACAGCTTATTGGTAACGTCTGTGACTGAAGCGCTGAGCAACCCCAATTCGAATAACAGAAAGCATATGGGATCATTTGACATTGCCGACGTGCATTACTGACAAATGGCAACTACCGAGAAATTCAGCTGCAAAATTTCCTGCCGATTGTCATCAACTATTTAATGCTAATTTCACTTTTTTCAAACTTTAGTTTATTATGAAGGAAAATTTATGATGACTGGTAGTTTTTCGAAAAACTTTCATTACGTCGATGATAAAAGTTACATCTCCGTCGGTTAATCTGTCTGTCTATCGATTTTAGTTGATCATATATATGAGGTAGTTGGTTTATACATAAAACACATATTCCTGTTCCCGAAACCTCTCACCTAGTTTCTGTTAACAAGGGCGTCTACATCACTAGCAAACATATGGTTGAGGAAAAAATTAAAAACCAAAACTCTCGCTGTACCGACTGCATCTGCGACTAGTTTAATAAACTTTATACGACACAAACGTAGCCTATGCACTCTGTATTTGATTGCTAAAATTCTCACTAGAATGATTTAAACTATTTCAGATGGATTCTGGATTAATCAGTAGAAAAAAATTCTGAGTAGCGTCAGACTAGGAAGAAACAGCTCCCTAAATTTCGCAGGTTTCGTGCATTTTAATTAGGTTTAAAAACTACTGCTATATTCAAAGTAATACTAAACATTTCTGTTGGATATATGCAATCTTTTTTGATTCAAACAACTGATTCCTCTTTGATTGAACACTAGTAACTAGTGTGATAGGTCTAGTCCTTTCTTTGATGCAGACTGAATTCTATCATTCCGGTTTGCAATGTGGCCACCATACTGGCTGACTTGCCATAACGGTGCACATTGATTTGATGATATTAGATGGTTGGAAGCAATAGGCAGGAAGCCTTGAACCTAGGTTTAATGCACCTAGAGTTCGGTCTGCACCAAAGAAAAGACTAGACACATCACACTAGTTACTAGTGTCCAGTCAAAGTATCTACTATAGTCCTACAGGACGTTAGCCGCGATCCCGATTAGCTCAGTGGTAACGTCTGTGACTGACTGCAGCGCTGGGCAACGTGGGTTCGAACCTCAGAAAGGACATGAGTTCCTTCAAGGTTGCAGATAAGCCTTGCTGGCTGTTGATTGCCAACTAGCACGAAACCTAGGTCCAAGGCTTCCTGCCGATTGCCTCCAACCATTTAATATCATCAAATTAGTTTTGCATTGATATATTAATGAAAATGATTCATCCTTTGATGGTCAAACGATGATCGCCTTGTTACAGCATAAATTATCTCTACAAAGTGCTCAATTGTAAAATTTATAATGGTAAAAACAACAGCTTCATTCTGGACAAAATGTGTACAGAGCGCATAGACTTCTAAGCATAATTCACTGCAGAACATTTTTTTCTCTAGACATAGGATCTTCAGTTACATCATCATGTAACTCAATGCTGTTCGATCTGAAGCACAGACTAATCCCTTGTGTTATTTTTCCCTTGTTTCCGAGACATGCGCACCAGTAGTTTGAAAGTAGTTTAAAAATTTGCGTGTATACTCAAGGACATAATTGAAAAATTAAAACAACAAGAATTAGAGAATATTTGATGCATGCGATTGAATGAAAGTTCAGGTAGCCCAGGGATTCAAACAAGCCGCCAGTATTGTAGTGATAAAAGTTACAAAGCTTTTAGCAGACATTGCTAAAAAAATATATGCACCTCTATTTTAACATATATCTGTACAAACGCTTTAATATTCTACAAAAATAGTGGCTTAGAGACTAACAAAAAACTTTTAATTTCTAAAATTTATCAATATTGAAGTCATAAAAGAAAAATATTCATTCTAGATTTGGTGAAAATTCTCTAAATATGAGTAAAGTTTATAATCTTTCGCGTAAATGTCTGAGATATACACTAATAATTAATGAGTAATTATTTATCTTACAACCAGAAACAATTATTTTTCATTTCTAGGGTTTCTGCCGTATGATATATAATAACACATTACAAACAACTGTCTGATAGAAATGAAATGATTCTAAGTAAAATTTCATACTCCGTAAAAGGCGGTTATTTCATCACATTTTTACTTATTGTTTATATTTTTCAAGTTTGACTACGGATTGATATCAATTAGAGAACCATTGAAAAGCAGGGAGTACTGGAAAACTATTTCGTCCTAGTTTGAGACCCATCATTGGTACACACCCAATGACAGGATTCGAACCCAGGACCTTTCGGTTACAAGCAAGCCGGCTTTTAGACCATTCAGCCACTGGGACCTGACTGAGTGGTCAGTCCATGAATTTTAACATTTACCTTGATTTTAGTGCAGCCACCAGCCAATGTCATCGGTGGGGGGTATATGTTCTCACTTCTGAGAGTTATCGAAAGGTCCTTGTTTAGCAACACAGTGGGTAGGTACTGCCAATGAGTACCAAACTTGATCGAAACACATGTCCAGAACTTCGTGGTTTTCAGTGGTTCTCTAATTGATATCAGTCCATGATCAACCTTGAAGAACAAATCAAATCCCAAAAAATCAATTCTTGGATATTTTTTTTTCCGTACTATTTTCCTCAGTTTGAAACTTAAGGCTTTGGCAAATATATTACATCGCCGTAAGCTTTTTTTGTATTCATATACTTGAAGAAGTGCGTCAACTTTCAGAGGAACGTTGTTGATGCGGAACTTAGAAAGTGGTATGCTTATATGTCCTTATTTCATTGTTCTGCATTCCTATTAGAGTATAGTGCTTCATGCTTAAGCTTTGAATTTTTAGTAGAGGTAGGTTGGTTTTATACTGGGTGATGTCATTAACTTCACGACCAACATTACCTGTTTACCGAGCTTACGATCAGCTGGGTTGTGTTTAGGGATGAGTCAGCTGGGAATCGAACCCTGATCACGTCTGTAGTTGGCAAGCATTCTGCCACTGAACCGCCAACGCACATGTATGTGTTCTAGTATCGCAATATTAAAATATACACCTGATTTGTGGAACAAAGTACTTTCTTTCTTGAGTGACCGCATGTTGAATCCATAAATTTGGGTTCGTATCCTCAAATAAAATAATAATCGGTCATATTTCATCCGCAACTGTATTGTTCCACTTGAAGTTTGCCGCAGTACTAGCTTCACAGGGCTCTTCCTCCATTTCTTTCGCAGAATTCGCATCGGTATGTAGAAACTTATTTGAAATAGCGCGCAAGTATGAATTGTGACTCATTAGGGATGGACCGAAAATCTAGGCATCTGAGTGATGTAAGCACGTCACCGTAAAGCAATGGGATTGAATGTAAATATATTTTGATAACTAATCAGTCCAAAGTTGATGATTATATATTTCAAGTAGAGATATAAATTTACAGTACACTAACCGGACAATCATCACTAGAATTTCACGCTAATGTGATCCGAAGCTGAAAATAATGAGATCTGTATTTCATCTAATATACCATAACCTTATTGTCAAAACTTATTCTTCAGTTTCCGTTGTGAAGCGTGACTATGAACCTACTGAACCACGAATAATAATAGTAATAACGGTGATGATCAATTATAAATTATTTAAATTAATCCCAGCATGTTAAGAAAATCAAAACAAGATTTTTCTGAACGTTTCGCTGTGTAAGCCACAGCTTCTTCAGCAGATTTATTCGGATTTTCATTAATCATCAAAATATATAGTCAAAAATTTTACATACATTAAAGTCAGTTTATCTGAAGTTCATTTGTCTATGGACATTGTTTTACCAATAGAAAATATGTAAGCAGTCATCACATATATTCGTAATCCCTAATGTCAAGTTGTTGTTGTGTTCATTCTTGTATAGTTAATTTGTATAGATTAGTTTTTGTATGAGTGTGTGTGTATATGTATGCTTATAATATGCAAGTTTATAATTTCCCCCAGTAATCTCAAGTCACTTCGAATTCATGAATTTCGCTAATAAAGATTTACTGAAAAATTTAGGAAACTTCGAGTTCCCTCATACTGCATACTTTGCACCATATTAACTCTTCTTCTATTTATCCATTTCTTGATTTTTCCTCAATAATGAATAGTGTCAAGATAATTTTGTTGATTTATTAACCAAAAGGATAATCATGACTAGATTATTACTTATCAGTATATAAGTAGTACTGTAAGAGAAATGGAAATTAAATTTTATCAAACTTTTTTCAAAAAGGCATCAGTAAAAATCCGATGACATAACCAACACTATTGATCATCTATGTGTTTTGCATGAAGGTCTCTGACAAAATGAAACAGTTTTGATTGGAAGATTACTCATAGAGGTTCATTGGTAACCGAATTTGACAAAGAACCTAATTTGGGACTCTTGAGTAGTACGCATCCACTGGGGTTCAAACCCAGGATCTTTCAGTTGCAAGGCGAGCTCGTATACCATTAAACCTCTGAGATCCGATGCATTGGCCCATGAATCCAAGCTTCTGCAGATTCGCAACATAGCACGATCACTAGCCGATGTCTTCGGCGAGTATTTGTCTTCTCGCCCGACCTGCTGTACCCTGGTGGTCATGACTTCCAACTAGAACTCCAAGTAACTACTTACCTGAATAGGGCCAGTCTCTACTGAGCATCTCATTGATATTTAAGTATTGGACTCGAGGGATTTGATTGATTGATT